GGGTCTTGGGGAATCGAACTCACGTTGTCAGGCTTAGAGGGTTAGTACCTTTAGTCACTGAACCATCTTTCCAGCTCAAGAGATTTGTTTTTAAAAGAAAAATCCTTGAATTTAAAATTCTGCCCTGTGCACAGAACTCATTTTTATCTCCCAGCTAAATTCAGTGCAAAGTATAGCAGGGTTAGTGCTGAATATCTCGAGAGAGATCTGTGCAGCCTCTCCAAGGATGACTTAAAGGGGCAAGGGCAGGTTGTTTTCAGCTGTGATTGGGTAAGGAGCCCCAAGGCAGTTAGTTCAGCTGTAATCTCCAGAAGACGATTTTATCCTTAATACTTCTCAGAATTAAAAGTTCAAGTGTTGTGTGTGTCTCTGTAATAATTAGAATTTGCAATGAAAATACTCAACCAAGGGTGTGTTTGGGTTTTTTGACAGACATTCTCACTACGTAGCTCAGGCTGGACTCAAACTTTTGATCCTCCTGCCTCCACTTTCCGAGTGTGGGATTACACACAAACCACAATGCCCAGTTTAGGCCTTGCTTGGGATCTAACCCAGGGCCTCAAGGGTGCTGGATTGCACTTAACCAACTGAGCTGTGTCCCAAACCTAAAACTGAACACTTTTTAGATTTAGATTTATTTTATGTGTATGAGTGTTTTCCCTGTATGCATTTAGTGCCCACAGAGGTCAGAAGAGGACATCAGATCTCCTGGACCTGGAGTTATGGATGATTATGAGCTGCCATGTGGGTCCCCTGCAAAAGCAGCATGCACTGAACAGCAAGGCATCTCTCCAGCCCCAGACTGGACACTTTCAAGTTTGAGTACAGGAGAAGCCATTCAGAGCCAGAGCCATTCTGACCACATTAGATCATTCTCACATTAAAAACAGGCTGGCTCTACGGGTTCAGGGTCTCACCACCAAGCCGGCAGCCTAATCTTGATCCTCAGGACCCACTTGGTGAAAGGAGAGAAACCACTCTGAAAAGTTATTCTCCGATCTACACGTATACAATGTTAAAAAGAGAGGCTGCAGAGAATCTGAGTCTCCACAACCCAGGCATGGTAGTGTGTGTGTGTGTGTGTGTGTGTGTGTGTGTGTGTGTGTGTGTGTACAGGCGTGTGTGCAGGCAGGTTCAGTGAGAGACCCTGTCTTTAAAAAGTAAGGGTTTTTATTACCCAGTTCAATAGGGGAAGACACCTAAGTTGACCTCTGACCTCTGCACATGTGAGTGGCACACACAGGAGAGTGCAGTCCCCACCTACACACACACACACACACACTTTAAAAAAGCATTAGTGAACCAAAGACATTGGGGACTGAATTTTACACGTTTATGAAGGAGGGAGGGAGAGACCATCTCAGGGTCTCTTGTGGTACATGTTCAGGACTGCCGCACAAGAGCCTCCACACTGAGCCACTGCCTAAGCCTTTTGGGGAAAAGAACCCCCAAAGACGAGAGTGATGTCAAGCTTGCTGATTGATTAGCCTTTATATGTTTTAAAATGCTTGCCTCTCCTGGGCAGCCAGGTGGCTGGCCTCCTCCCTCCCACCGAAGCTGGGAGAGATAATTAATTGTACCTTAGGTCTTGTTCACCAGGGCCCGGAAGGGCGGGTGGGCTGGAGTGTGGGGAGAGCTCATTATTAAGCTCTGAGGTGATGGAATGGTTTCCAGTGCTAAACAGGTTTTCCGTGCCCATGGTGGCTGCCTCTGCTCTTCCTAGGGTCGGAACTACATTTGTACGCCGGAGTGAGCCAGGCTACCAGGAAACAGCAGTGCAATTAGAACGCCTTGATTTTATCTTGTGGTGTTCCTGCCAAGAATAATTGTGTTAGCTTCAGCTCAGCTCCCGGACACACTCTGGAGGGGGGGGTGGTCAAATGGGCTGTACAGGCCCCTGCAGAGCCAGTCACTTCTGCCCTGTCCTGTCCTGTCCCGGAGGTCCAGCCTTCTGTCTCGACTTACCCCTCTAGCTAGCACCCTGACCTGGGACTTGGGGATATACATCTATCATCTCCCCCACCTATCCCCAGAGGGTTCTGCCTTATGTCTGTGGATGGAGAAGTGTGCTTGGAGGCACAGAGGAGGCAGGAGCTGTGTTCCTACCCTGTCTAGCTCCAGCCTGCCGCAACTTAGCTTGTGGTCAGGAACCTCAGCTAGCAGGTGGCATTGCCTCAAGGGGCTACAGTTGTGTAGCCTTAGGGCTACAGTTGTCCTAATGGACCACTTTGCTGCTGACCAGAGGGCTGGAGAGGGTGCTGCTGACCTAAGGGTGACTTGCCATGAGGAAGGAGTACTGTCTCTTGAGAAGTGTTCTGGGACTTAGGACAGGTGCAGTTACAACTAGAGAGGGTGACTGGGACTGCCCTCTGAGTACCCTGGCTACCCTGGCTCCCTGGTTGCCCATGCGCTTCCCTGTCTGTGGGGCATTGGAGGCTGAGGTTCTGTTCCTGGCCCCATCCATGGTTTTGAGTGTTCACAAACTGTAAGCATCTAGTGTTTTCTCTTATGGATTGAGGAGGGGTCTCAGGGGACTATTGCCCTCTGTCTGATGCCTTGGCTACCTCCCTAGCCGGAGTGCAAAGTCTTGGCATATTTGGGACAACTGTTCATCACACTGGCTCAAGGACAGCTATCAGACACCTCTCGTGTAGGCAGATTTGAAGAATTGAGCCCCAGCCCTGACTTTTTCTGTTAATTGAAATGGAGGGTCTTTTCCTGTCACCATCACTGAGGTCAAAGGAGCAGCTTGAATCAGACATTTACAATGATGCCCCCATATCAGGGTTTATGGCCACACCTCTCAGCCTCTACTATTAGCCCTGCGTTCCGCCTGTCTATAGGAGAACCATGAGGGCTGGTCACATCGCCTGGAGCTTAGAGATTGCTGACAAAAGGGCTTCTACCTGAGTTGTAGGGCTCGACAAGACAGAGCCACACACCAGCCCCTTTACTTACCCACCTCTCATGGTGGTTCTTCACCCGCTGGTGTATAGACACCATCCTGGGGGAGGTGTCCCGTGTCCTGCCCAGGCAGAAAGCCAGCCCTGCCTGGGACTCAGGTGACAGTTGAGGGCAAATGCTCTTGTTCTTGAAGAGTTGTACTCAGGGTCACTAAAGCAGGGGATGCAGGTGCTTCAGGCCGGCAGCCATGCCAGCTGGCACAAACTGTGTCTGACAGAACTCCGAGGTAGAGGGAATGAGTCTGTGTCTGGGTTTGGTTGACTCCGTGGCTGTGCCACGTCCACTGTACCACCGTTCTCATTGCAGATATTGATCTTTTTTTCTTTCGCTTTTTATTGTTTAGTTTTTTGATTTTTCAAGTAGGGTTTCTCTGTGTAACAGCTCTGGCTCACTCTGTAGACCAGGCTGGCCTCAAACTCACAGAGATCCACTTGCCTCTCTCTCTGCCTCCTGAGTGCTAGGATTAAAAGTATTGTCGTTAAATATCTGGGAAGATTTTTAATAGCTTTAGTATTTAACTTAATAAGGTACATATTATGTACCTTTTCACTTAAGCTTATCTGTAAACACACCTTGTTATCATCAGAGTAAAAGGGCAGGGTCAGAGGCTTGAATGGAAAGTGGCACATTCTTTAGAGATAAAGTGGGTCATTTGTGTCATCCATGTTGCCCCTATGTGCCCCTAGGTCCCTGCCCCAACTCTTGCCTTGTCCAGAGACTCCAGGGTCCTTGGCCAGAGCAGTGGGCCTCTTAACATGGGCAGCTGCCCAGCTGGGTGGTCAGGGGTTAGAGACTGAGCGTGAAGCAGCCTGTCCTGTGATGCATGGCCTTCGGCCCTCCCTTCTGGCTCCAGGCTGCTCTGTGGCTCCCAGTCCCGGCCATGTCATCTCCTAGGGATGGATAGATGGCTGTCCTGTGCAGACCTCTAAATGAGGCAAAGTGAGGATGTCAACATAAGTAGGAGAAAGATATATTTGGTGCCCAGATGCCACACAGCATGTGGCCCACGCCGTCCCAGAAGTGCCAGGTGTAGCCTGTTGGTGCACCGGAGGGCACTCGGTGGCACTCGGTGGCACAGATGTGTGTGAAGTGGTGGGGATCGTTTCCTTTGCAAGGAAGGGGCCATACTGGGGACTTTGTCATTGTCCCTTCCTCACCTGTCTCTCCACACCCCCTTCCAGGAGCCACAAAGCAAGGAAGACTCACCATGTGACTACACTTTATTCAGGCACTGAATGAATACACCAGTTCTTAGTTATCTTTTCTTCCCTTTTACAAGTGAATGAGAGCCATTTACACTTTACTATTCCCAGTATTATTTCGAAGAAGCAAGTCCTTGAGCCATACCTCTCATGGTGGCACCACACTGACTGGCACAGCAGCACCCACAGCCTCCTTCACCTTCACATAAGAGCAAACACCTTGGTAAACAAGCATCTCGAGGGGTGGGCATCCCAGAGCAGGTGGGCCGTTTGCTACAGGGCCTCTCTCAGCTCAGACACACTGGTCACACAGGAGTTATAAGTGGCAGCTGGGGTGACCCTGCAGCGTTCTTCCTGAAGGCAGGAAGAGGGCTCCGGTGTCCTTAGCTTTTGCATGCACTGTGTGCATGGCCAGTTAGACATCACAGGCAAAGGAAATGCAGCCAGTTTGGGTCTGGTACATATATTCTGTCTCTAGACTCCTCCACCCAGGTAGCAGAAATGTTATGCTCCCGTAGGGTGGCCTATCCTTTCCGCTGTTTCCTGTCAACAGCAGAATCATCTTCTGGGGACATAGAATATGGAGAGAAAACCAAAAGTTGCAGGTTGTAGGGCACCCTTTGAGTCCAGTGATGAATGTCACATGACCTGCTGCACTGGGCCCTTGAATCTGGCTTGCCACATTCATGAGCTGCATCGTCAGGCAGGGTCCCAGCAGCCCCAGAGATGACCCAGCAGTGTGACGTTCTCCAAGGGTTTGAGAGTATGACATGACTCAGTTCACCCACCCACCACACGTGCTGGGCGTGTGCTCCCCCTGAACACCAGCCTGCCCCCTACCCCTGTCCTCCTCCCCGAGGGAGGTGCCTCTCACACAGCACTGCTGAACTTGACATCTGACTGCTCTGTGCTGTCGGGAATGACCGCCTTGAGTGTGGCATGGCAGAAACGGTTCAGAGCTGGGAGGCTCGTCTTCTGCTCCACATACAGTCTGAGCTTGTCCCTGAAAGTCTCTCCAAGGAAGCTGTAGATGAGGGGGTTCAGGCAGCTGTTGGAGAAGGCTGCAAGGTTGACAATGTGGCCTGTCAAGGGGTAAGCATGACGGAAAGACTGCTTGCAGGGAGTGTCTCCTGATTGCGTCCATTGCAGGAGATGGACACTGATGAACACATTCTCCGGCAGCCAGCAGATGAAGAAGACGAGGACCACGGCAAAGATCATCCTCAGGGCTTTCTGCCTGCGTGGGCGCAGGCCACGGTGCCTGTGGGCCCGGATGAGGGCCCGCACGATGAGGGAGTAGCAGAGGCCAATGATGGCAAAGGGCACAATAAAGCCCAGTGTGACCTCCAGCCACTGTACCTCTCTGACATCAGCAAAGCAAAAGCAGGCCTCTTCAGTGTGCCGCAGGTGCACTGCCGTGAAGGGTACCAGTGTGGCGGACACTGAGGCCATCCAGATGAGGCCACAGCTGAGCCGTGCGTGGTGCTTGGTGCGGAAGAGGCTGCAGCGCATAGCCTTGGCCAGCGCCAGGTACCTGTCGAAGCTCATCCAAGTGAGGAAGAAGACGCTGCTGTACATGTTGATCTGCAGGAAGAGGGACATGAAGGTGCAGAGCACAGCGATGTCGTAGTATTGCTCATCCAGGTTGAACACTTCGATCAGTGAGTCAGCCACCAGGATGAGGTCGGCAGCTGCCAGGTTGATGAAGTACAGGTCCGGGATGGTCATCTTCTCCCGGAAGCTGATGTTCACCACCAGGATGAGGATGTTGCCCACAAAGCCAATGGGAAAGAGGAAGATGGTATAGAGGCAGGAGAGGAAAAGGGCGATCACGTACTGCTGCTGCTCAGAGAGGTGCCCCGTGAGGTTCCCTGGGATGTCTTCCTGCAGCGGGAGGGACAAGTTGAGGGTCAGAGAGGTGCTGTTGGAAGGGTCCGACCACATGGGACCTAGGTAGATCTCCACGCCAACAGTGTGGGCTGGAGTACTTGCATCCATGGCTTCCCTTGGCAGCTTTCAGGACTTGCTGAAAGGGTCACAGAAGTCTGTTTTAAGCGAAAGCTCCATCTTCACAAAGAAAGGTGATTCTCTTGGAAGTGAGCCAGGCATTTGTAAAGCAGGGAACCTCCTTCCAGGAACCTGTTTCAGAAAACCAGAAAGGCAGACAGGGCGTGCGATGTCTGGCGGGCTCTGGTCAGCCACACCTGCCGCCTGCTCACTCTCTGAGCACCTGTGGAGGCAGACGGGACAGGATTAAGCATCTGGAATCCATGTGTCTTGAGGGAGCCAGGTGTAGTGCATGAGCCATAACAGATCCTTCTGGACTCAGGCTATTCACCCTCTTGGAGAGATGGGTGACCCTGAGCTGGAGCAGAAGAGATGGATGTGGGAGTGTTCCCTTGTGTCCCTTAAGGGTGTCCAGAGTTGGTGGTTTGAGTTGGCGACAGTCTGTGAGTCATGGGAGATGCAGTGGGACCCGTCAGATCGCTGGCTCATGGAATAACATGAATGTGTGGTGTGGGAATTTGAGGAAAACTACTGTTTGTCGGGACAGGAAGTCTCATTAACTTCAGCAGCTGTTGGAAAGAGATGCGACATGGGAAGGGAAAAACCCAGCCTTTCTCCAAGAAGCCCATGGAATGGTAGCTGACTTTTCTCTTAGTTAAGTGACAAGAGAAGTTTTGCTCTTTGACTGTCGGCAGTATTGAGTGTGGGTACCAGGCATAAATACCTGCCCCCTAATACAGAATGAAAAAGAATAAAAATTGTCATTTGATAGCTGATGTGTACCTCGTGGTAAAGCATTTACCTGGCACACACAAGGACTGTGGGTCCCATCTTTGGCATCACACACACACACACACACACACACACACACACACACACGCACGCACGCACGCACGCACACACACACACACACACACATATACACACTGCTGGTTTTTGAGGCAGGGTCTCATGTAGTCCAGGCTGTCCTCGAATTCACTAAATAGTTGAAAATGACTCCTCTTCTGCCCAGCTACTGAGGAGGCTGAGGTAGAAGGATCCCTTGAGCCCAGGAGTTTGAGACTAACTTGGGCAGTAGCCTGAGACCCCCTTTTCAAGGGATAAGGAAGAAAGGCGTGAAACAAGGAGAGTATTTTGTCCTTTTTCACAAATTACTGCGAAATATAACATTTTAGAGGCTGTATCCTGGAAGCTGGGCTTCGTTTGTGGCTTGGAGGATGTGCCTGGGGATGTTTCCTAGCTTGTATGACTCTGAGCCCCAGGGGTGTCTGTGGTGTGACCCGGGTTCTCAGTAGCAGTGTCTGGAGACCCTGAGGTGGCCCAGTGTGGAAGAGGGATACTGGCATCCAGTGCGTAGAAGGCAGGGATGCTACTCGGTGTCCATACTGTCCGGGGCAGCTACTGTCCCAGCTTCCTCACCCACAGTCAGTAGCACCCAGGGTTAGTTGACAGAATGGACGGGGTTAGCTCCTGGAAATGCATCTCTTTTGTTTGTTTGTTTGTTTGTTTTTTGGTGGGGGTTGCTTTTGGTTTTGAGGTGAAGCAAGGGCAAGCCAGAGATTTATTGACCTTTCTCTCCCAAAATACTGCTTCAATAAAATAAGGGGAGGAAGAATGGAGGGGTAGCTTACTGCCATGGTCACATCCTATCTGGAAGTGTGGGTGGGCAACCCATCTCTCACAGGTGGTGCCCATTTGAGCCACTTTTCTGAGTCCAACTACAGCATGGACGGCTTCCCTTTATTTCTTCTGAGATCCAACAAGACAGTTGGACCTGGTGGTGCACACTTTAATCCCAGCACAAAGGAATCAGAGGTAGGTGGATCTATAAGTTTGAGGCCAGCCTGGTCTATGTAGTGAGTTTCAGACCAGTTAGGGCTGTACAGTCAGACCCTGCCTTAAGACAAACAAAACCTCACAATTTAAAAGCACTAACCCAGAAAGCAAAGTGTGAATGTGGAAACTCGAAGTCCTGCCACAACTCCAGAAGCTTAAGAGGGAGCAGAGCCCCCCACCCCACCCTGCCCCAAAGCTGCTCAACCATTCTGGTGGGAGTGTGGTGGAGACAACGCCCTGGGCTCTGTCCTTGATCCAGACTGCTGCTCTGCTGGTCTAAGGACCAATGCTAGTGCCCTTCTGATTTTCCTCTTGTATGTCCAGATCTGGGGAGACAAGGCCAGATTTTTGCCTGGCTTACAAGACCCCTGACCCTGGAACTGCTAAGCCACCAGCAATCCCTTGGCAGGCAAAGAGAGGCAGCAATGTGGTGTTACAGGGCGTAGCCGGGACATGAGTGTGGAGCTCTAGATGGACACTCTGTTGCCTGTACTTGAGTAGAGCCCTTGCCTCAGTCACACCTAGCATGCTATCCCTGGAGGCTGAGGGGTACCTGCCTCCTCCATCATTCCCAGCATAGGAAGTACTGCCCAGCCAGATACAGGCAGACCCGGAACCTGGGGCGCAAGCCTGAATCTTACCTGTGCCACTGTGTCACTGGAGGAGTACCCGGAGCTTGCCCGAAGGGGATTGGCCCTGGACTTGCCGCACCTTAGGGGTGGCATCCGGCAGGAACAGCAGGAGAGGAGAAGAAAGACTTGTCTAGAAGGGATGATGCCTGTGGCTGTCCCGCAGCATCTGGCCCCCTTGGCACAGCGCCTCCTTTATAGACTTCCCAAGCCTACTCACTTGGCTCTGGCCAGCCTCCTTTTTAAGGCCAGCATTAACCATTTTTTTGCTGGCTGTTTTTTTCCCTCCCACATGTAGGAAGTGAAAACAGTCCAGTTGGACACATATTTTATGGAAGTTTCCAGTGTGACTGCTGTTCTTCACCCACTGACACTTTTTTTTTTTTTTAAAGTGTGGAGGGATTATAATACTGTTTACCTTTTAGGTAAGAAACCTTTACTCATTTGTAGAAGCAAGTGATGATGTTCTTGCTTGTTTTTGTCAGTACTGGCTTTAAGACTGAACAATGAGTTTTCTCAGTCAGCTTTAGTAGGGTGCCAGGAACACAGCGAACATAAGCTATAGCTTTCCCAGGGTTGCTTGCAGCAGGAAATGCAGCCCACAAGCAGCAAGTATCTTGGTCAGAAATTAGGAATCTGGGTGGGGTTTCTGCTCTAATGTTCGCTGGGTCTAACGTCTCTCTGCCCAGGGGTCAGCTGAGCCACCTGTCTTCCAGGTGGCTGATAAGCCTCATCCCCACTCTGGCCACCTGTCTGCTCTCTGTTTCCAGTTCTAGGCCTTGTACAGCCAAGGCCGAGGGGACCCAAGCCCGGGGGTTCTAGTGGCCCTTCGATTGCCGTTCCACAAGCATTCCACCTTCTGGTTGTTTTTTTCCTCTTGAGCATTGGGATGATCTTGGCATTGTAGCCCTGAGGTGGAGACAAGCTTGGGGGGAGGAGGCTTCACTTCATGATCAGACAGTAGGTAGCCCCGACTTGAGCTATGCAGTCAACTTATTTGATATTCATAATAATTAAATTGGTCTCATTTGTGCTTTCTTTGTATCTCTCTCTCTCTGTGTGTGTGTGTGTGTGCTTATTCATGTATGTGCTTATGCATGTGTGTGGATGTGGAGGCTGGAGAACCTCCTGTCCACCTTGTTTTTTGAGGCAGGGTTTCTCATTGGCCTGGGTCTCATCAGTATAGCTAGGTTGCCTGGCCAGAGACCCCAGGGTTCCGCCTCTACCTCCTCAGTGCAGCCCCGTGTGTTTTCGTCTTGGTATCTTCTTGAGTGTTGGGAAGCTGTGAGGTTGGGCACAACAGATGGGCATTTGTGTTTTTAGCATGAATAGTGCATGTTTCTGCTGGCCTAAGGGCAGATGGAATCAGCACATGCTGCTCCCTAAAAGGGCAAGTACATGCAACAGGAAGGAACAGGTACTGGTCTAGAGAGATGGCTCAAGGGTTAACATTTGTTGCTCTTGAAGAGGACACAGGTCCAACTCCCAGCACCCATTTGGTGGCTCACCATCATCTGTAACTCCAGCTCTAGGGGGTCTAACTCCCTCTTTTGGGCTCTGGGCACCAAGCATGAAGGCAATACACAGATATACATGAAGGTAAAACAGTCATGCACATACAATACTAAAAAATTAAATAAAGCAATTACCTGCATGCAGACAGCTGCAGGGGCATCTCTAGGGAACGCTGGCCTGCTGCCCTGTACAGATCTTTAAGCGGAGTTCTGTGTTAAATTTTCTTTTTAATGGAAAAATACTAAGTCGGGACCCTTTGGAACTGTAGAAGCCCCGACTACTGTGCTGTTTTTTTCTCATTTGAGCAGCATGATAAAGAGCCCATCGGACCAGCTTACCAAGTCAAGATGACGTCAACATTAAAAAACGCCCGCGACACCATCTTGAAAGAAACAGATCATGAGAAAACACAGCTTCCTTTTGAATTAAATAAATAAAACAGAAACCCAAGCCTTGAAATAGCCAAGGCGTGCCACTTAAAAATAGCTGCTCCCTTAAAAAATTCCCCATTCTTGCAAGCCCATGCTTAGGGTTCCATGGGGTTGGGATGGCGAGAGTGCCTTCATTGCCTCCTGGGTTCTGGGGAGTCCCCTGAGGTGCTCTGATATCTTGCACAGGTGCATGGGTGGCAGCTGAAGCATTGGGTGAGTGTCCTGCTCAGAGCCCAGGCCTCCCTTTAACATACCAGGTAGTCACATCATATGTCTAGCACTTGGGACCTATGTCATCATGACAGGACCTAGGTAGAAGGGATCTCTGCCTTCTGACCTCATAGATTTTAGTATGGATAAGGATGAGAGACCTTGGAGAAGAGTCTGTGAATACAGTGGTTAGTCTGTTGTTTATGAGGGCTTCCTCCACACTCTCCTATAGTGCTCTATGATAGTCTTAAGGAGCATTCCTTCAGAGCCAGGCTGCCTCTGGCCTTGGTTTCTTGACATAGTCTGAGGGACACAGTTTGAGCATTTGCAGCTGAAGGCAAGGCTGGAGGCTGAGTCTGGGCCAGGGTCTTTGCCCTTATACAAGCCATGCTCATGTCCTTCCTGATCTGCTTGTCCCCACATGAGTTGGATGTCTTCGAGGGTTTGGTATTATGTTTTGTGCCCGAGTCCACAGTTGTTTATAATGGTGTTGTGTCTGAGGAACCTACTCTGGCTGCTCTACCTTGACAAGAAAGGGCCCAGGCTGCTGAATTCACCACACACACACACACACACACACACACACACACACACACACACACACACACGACTCAAGGCTTAAGGGAGGGACTTGAGATGGCACTCCACCCGTTCAGTGTACAGACAGTATTGGACCATATATGGAACAAGTACCAGTAAAATGAAGCCCTTTGTTTTTGCCATTATAAACTCCTCACCGTAGCCCCCTGCTGCACACAACCCTTCATCTTTTGAAGTTCTGGGTCAGGGGCCAGAGTACCTCCAGGGGTCCCTACTGCCCCCAGATTTCTCTCTCTTGGTCTTCATGCCCACTTCCACAGCACAGAACAGTCCCAGCGCCTACCTCATGGGTCCAGGCTCACCTCTTGCCTGACAGTCAGAGCTCTTAGGGAACATGGTCCCAGAGTCTGAGTATGGCCAGTGTGCCGCAATACCCAGCCCCTTTCCCACTCCTCATGGTCACCTGGAGCATGGATGTAACATGAGACAGTTCTGCAAAGGCCCTTTGACATTGTAATTATCTACAACTGTGTTGGGCCATTCATAGCTGTCGTGGGACACATGTGGCCCATGACTGCAGGTTGGACACACAGGTGTCAGCCTTTCTGCTTTCTTCAGGGTGAGGCAGGTGACTTCCTTTCATCACGGAAGCCACCTTACTTCTTAGTCCTGTTAGGAACCCAGTGTGATCACCATGTTTTTGAGTCAGCCATCAATGCTCTTTGCTCTTCTGGTCTTCCCTGGGTCCCACCTAGGGAAACGGCCTGCCAATCAAAAGCATTTGTAGGATTGCGTGCATGATTTGGTTTGCCCCTAAAGTGTCAAGCATGTGTATTGGGAAACAGTACAAAGCTTGGAGAAATTGTAGGCATTTATTTATGCTCATGCATGTGTGTGTGGATGCGCGTGCATGTGTGTAAGCCAGAAGCCAATGTTCACTGTCTCCTTCAGTCACTGTTCGCCTTTTTTGAGATGGGATCTCTCAGTGAACCTGGAGCTTGCTGATTCAGTTAGGCCAGCTAGTGAGTTCCAGGGATCCTCCATTATCCATTCCTGACATGGGGATTATAGGAATGCTATGCTTTTTGCTGCTTGCTTGCTTTGAGACAGGGTTTCTCTGTGGAGCCTACTATCCTGGAACTTGCTCTGCAGACAGACTGGCCTTGAACTCAGGGATTTGCCTGCCTCTGCATCCTGAGTTCTGGGATTAAAGGCATGCACCACCACCCCATGTAGATATTAGGGATCTGAAGTTAGGTTCTCATGCATCTTTACCAAAATCTATCTCCCCAGACACAGTTTGTGCATTTTTCTCTAATGGTTCAGACTCAGGGGAGATAGGGAGCCCTAACCCCTGCCCGGAGATGTCACTGACTTCTAACTCTGCAACACAAGTGCTTCATGACAGTTAATACTTGACTTTAATATGTGTCTAGTAGGTCGAAAGGCTGACATCTTCATAAAGGAAGAACCAGAGCTGGAGAGGCTGAGCACAGGAGACTGATGGTCTCACAGCCCAGTCTGCCCACTCCTGCCTGCCGAAGCTGTTTTGTCAGTGCAGAGCTGTGACTCAGTCTCCCCAACTCCTGAGCCATCCCTCTTCTTGTGGAAGTGGGCGCCTGAACCCTAGGAGCATCCAGGTGCTGTGGTCCTGGTCCTGTGAGGTTTGGGAGTTCTCATACACCCAGGCATCCCATGTGCACAGTGCAGGTGCCATCTAGGTCTATCTGGGGCTGTTTCCCAGAAAAAGCCAGTTCAGTAGCCATGTCTTCCAGTGTGGGAAGGAATTTGCACCCCCAGAAGAGTGTCATCACTCTGCCCTGCAGCTGCTACCTACCCGCCTCCCTCCACCCCCCCCCCCCCCAGCACTCAGAACACACACACACAGCCTTGTGCCTGTAGGGAGCAGATCAGAGCTTTACAGTGTTGACAGCTGGGCCCCTTCCTTGGTTGCTGGGAGCTTTCTGGTTGCTTCCTTTGATTCCTGGAGAGTGTTGGCAACCAGAAGTGAGTATGTGCAGCCCAGAGTGCAGATGGCGGTGGAGGGAGCCCTGAGTGCTATTCAGAGAGGCTGCTGACACTGGGGAGTGATGATGGAGTGAGGCTCAGAAAGGAGTGGTGGAGGTGGGCCCTTGTTAACAACTCCCAAGCCCTTTCTTAGCCAAGGGAGGCCTGAACTCGAGGGTTCTCTCCCCACCCCATGATCACTTCCAAGTTTCTTTTCAACCCTGCGGGTTCCTGCACCCTTGCCCTGGATCAGAGCATCCAGAGCTGTATTCTCGCTCTCTGTGTGTGTGTGTGTGTGTGTGTGTGTGTGTGTGTGTGTGTGTGTGTGTGCAGGGGTGTCCCATTGGCTGTCTTTTGTTCTAGATCGTTCTCTTTGCTTTGCTCTAGATCATTCTCTTCGCTTCTCAGGTAGAAAGACCCTTCCTTGCTCTTAGGAATTATCAGGAAGTTATAATGTAATGGATATAGGGCCACGTCAGGAGACAGAGACAGAATCCAGTGGGCCTAACTAATAGGCCCTAAGTCTAGAGCCTGCTAGGGGGACTTTGGCTCCGTATCTTTCTCACAGGGCCCTGGTGCAATCTATGACCTCTTGCTGCTGCAGCAATGGAGCCCCTCCCCCAACCAGCTCTCAGTGGTTCTTAAATTTTTGCTCCCTTCTGGTCCGTTTTTGTTGTTCTTATTGCTGTGCTTTGTTTTGTATTTAAGACAGGGTCTCATATGTAGCCCATGTTGGTCTTGGAGTCACGATCCTTTTGGCTGAGCCTATGAGTGCTGGGGTCATAGGCATGCACTGCCATCCCCAGCTCACTGTCTTTTTAAAGTACAAAGGTCCAGGTCTGGGGAGGGAGCTCAGTCAGTAAAATACTTGCAAGGAAAACCTGAGTTTGACCCCCAGAACCCATGCACAAAAAATCAGGTACGGCTGGGTGTTTTGCTTACATACACAGCTGCTGTATATCACATGTATGCAGTGTCTGAGGCAGCTAGAAGAAGACAGCTTGACTCCCCTGGAATTTTGTAAAGTCAGGTGTGGTAGCCTATAATTGTAGTGTCAGTGCTGAGGTGGTGCAGACAGGGGGTCCCTGGGGCAACCAGTCTAGTCTTGATAGGCTAATTCCAGGGGGTGGGGTGGGGGATGGGCTGGAGAGCTGAATCAGAGAGGTTAAGAGCACTGGCTTCTCTTTCAGGTAACCCACATTCAATTCCCAGCACCCACATGGCCACTCAACCATCTGCCATTCTGAGGTGCTTGCACCCTCTTCTGGCCTCCTCAGGTACTGCATACATGATGCACAGGGGAAAAAAGGTCCCTATGCAGAAAATAAAGATAAGTTAAAAAAAAAAAAAAAAAAAACAATTTTTTTTTTAAATGGTGGATACTTCCTGGGAATTGACACTGAGGTTGTCTCCGAGTCTACACACTACACCTAAAAAAAACCTGGATCTTACTATTTGAGAGCCACCAATGCAGGTTCAGGCTTTTAAAATATACTCCGTCGGTACCTGGAATGCTGGGGAGCTCAGAGAGTTGAGAGCTGCAGTTTGTCCTCTTTCCTGCCCCTGTCCTGAGACACACTGCTCCCAGTAGCCTGAGTACACAGAGGATTTTTTGCCATCTCTTTTCTCCTGAGCCATGTGCTATGGGCATCCATCGTGGCAGGTATTTATAAATTAACTTAGCAGCTTCTACATCTGCCATGTGTGAACTCGAGGGAACTGACCATGAGGCACTAAGAACAGCAAAATGTAGGAGATGACTATGGTGATACCAGGAGGGCCCGCTGTGGCTGTGCAGAATTTGGTCCTGGCAGGGCAATACCCTTGCACTCACCAGCTTCCTGCCTTAGGCATCCTCTGGCCCCCAACAAAGGAAGGAGTTCTGGGATGAGCAGAACAGGTTAGATCAGTGGAGGGGAAGAGACCGGCTTTCTGGAAAGTGAGCGAGTAGGTATTGTTGGGATGTGGCACTTGGAGAATAGGGTGCCACATGGAGAAAGCACCCCAGAACCTGCATGGCAGTTAGTTCTACTCTGGGCACATTGACTGTAAGCGGAGTGAAGGTATAAGAGGCTGATCCAAGGGCAGCTGATGGCTCGTGTGTGCTGAGCCCACCCCAGAGCTACCAGAGTGCTAGTTAGTATCCTCCCCAGCCAGAGGACAGGGATGTCTTGGGATGTGGATGTTTAGTCAGTTTTTCTTTGCTGTGACAGCATAGTTACGGCTGGGTACTTCATTAAGAAGGGGGGTTTTTGTAGCTCAGTTTCAGAGGTTAGAAATCCAGTTTAGTCTCTTTGAAGCCACTCCTGGTTTTTGTTTGTTTGTTTGTTTTTACCATAGTGGATGGGGTCCTAGCTGGGGCAGATGGAAGTATGGCTGGAGTCATGGGGGCTGAAGGAATCCTAGTGGGAGCAGAATTGTGGTGGTGGAAGCTGATGGGATCATGGTGTGAAGGGGTGGGGTCATGGGAGGAGCTGATAGGATCTTGGTGGGGGTAGATGGGATCATGGTGGCAATGGATGGGATCATCGGAGAAGCTGATTGGATCCTGGTGGGAGCTGGTGGTGAGAACACACTGGACAGAGAGATCACATGTTGAGACAGGAAGCCAGGGAGGGGGTCTATGAACTTTGCCAACTGGGCATCCCGCATAAAGATCCCTAAGGAAACCACACTGGAGACCAAGGTTCCAACATTGGATATGCTGGAGCTCTCGGCAGCCTCTGTGCCACCTGGGTACCTGCCAGATCTCAGGGTAGCAGTACAGTCCTGGGTGACACCATTGTCACTGGATGGAAACCAGCTGTTTCAGGGACCTTCCACTTATGGGTGATAATCTTAATGCTTTAATGACAACAACAGATTTTAAAAGATTTATTTGTATTTTAAATTGTGGGGTGGGGCAGGAGGAGTATGCATATAAGTTCAGGTGTCCATGGAAGACGGCATTGGAGCCTCCTGGAGTTGGAGTGCAGGCAGGCACCTGTGAGCCACCAGATGTGGCTCCTGGGAACTGACACAGGTCCTCTGCAAAACACTCTGACTGCTCAGCCATCTCTCTAGCCCCAGTGATGACTGATTCTTACAAGGTAAATGTAAAGGAGATTTTTGGCAGGAATTCTGTTGCCCATGTTCTCTGACAGTTGAAAGCTGTGGCAACGACTGCATAGAAGCAGAATGTAATGTCGCTATACGGCAAATAAGTACCCAGGCGTGGTGACGCATCTGTAGTCCCAGCATTCAGGAGTCAAGTCCAGCCTAGGCTGCTTGTAGTGACATCCTATCTCGAGAAACAAATAAGCTGGGCTGGAGATATGGCTCAGTTGTTAAGAGCACTGGCTGCTCTTCCAGAGGTCCTGAGTTCAATTCCCAGCAACCACATGGTAGCTCACAACTGTCTGTAAATCTAGTGACAGGAGATCTGTCACCCTCACACAGACACACATGCAAGCAAAACACCAATGCACATAAGATAAAAATAATTTAAAAAAATAAAATAAAGCCAGATGAGTGCTATGTTTATTTCCTCGATGCCCTTCCTGTGCCATCAGACTGGGCTGTGGAATGGAGGGTGACCACTAGCAGGCATGGTAGTCTATAGTCAAGACACCCTCCAGCAGACCCGTGGTCTCTGGTCAGCCTCTGTACCCATGCCATTGTGTCCTTGACCTGAATGTTCCTCAAGGTGAGGCTATTGATCTGGGAGCAAGCTTGTATTTTTTTTTTTTTTTTTTTTTTTTTTTTTTTTGAGAGGGTTTCTCTGTATTGCTTTGGAGGTTGTCCTGGAACTGGCTCTGTAGACCAGGCTGGCCTCGAACTCACAGAGATCCGCCTGCCTCTGCCTCCCTAGTGCTGGGATTAAAGGCATGAGCCACCAGCGACTGGCAAGCTTGTGTTTGTTAAACAACATCCATAACACATGAACCCTGCCTCCCCAAGCTCCCGGGAAAGTCACTCTTCCCTGAACAGGAAGGGGTGTGGCTTGTGCCAGCAGGCAGGCTCTGTCTAGCCCCCTACCCTACTCAAGGGCATGCTGTTGTCTGGTCCCCGCCTGCATCTCTGTGTGAGGTGCTCAAGGAGGCTCAGCAACGCAAGCCTACACCGTGTGTGGAGGAGGAGAGTGGCTACCAAGTTGATGCAGCTCTCTCCAGACAGGGCTAGCTCTGCAAGGTTCATGAGCAGCTCATCCCAGGGGGATCCCAAATCCTTCTGAAGTTTCAGCTGGGCCCGATGCAGGAGGACCGCGTTGAAGAAGAGTCTACAGGCGAACATGTTGAGAGTCACGGCTAGTACCACCCAGCGCCCAGAGGCTGTGTCTCTTGGAGCAGGAGCCACCCGCCAGGCTGGCTGTGTAGTGTGCAGGAGGAAGAGAACCATCTGGAAGCTTGAGGCAAGTGCAAAGCCCAGGCTGAACTTGACAATCTCGTATTCGGGCCATGCAACCAGTGGATCTACCTGGCACATGGTGATTGCATGTAATTCCCCAGATGTGCCCAGCAGGGACACCACGATGAGCGAGCTGCACACAGCACAGCCCCCGGTGGCAGCTAGACTTGCCACAGGTCTCACCAAGAGCTGGCAGCCCGAAGATCCTGGCAGAAGAGACAGGACAAGCATGGCCCCTTGCAGGTATTGGGCAGTAAAGTAGCAGACATTGGAGAAGAATGAGAGGGCCCCACAGCCCAGGTTTGTCGTGGACATGTAGTCAGGCCGGCCAGCAGCATTGAGGGACAGTAGAGTCACCAAGATGCTAGTGACTGTGAGGCCTGCAAGGAGCCTGTCCAGCACCTCCAGCCTAGCACGGTCCCGGATGAACACGCTCAGACTGAAGAGCCCCGTCACTAGGCTCAATGGGACACACACTGCTACATACACATGCATGCACCTAGAAATGATGCTCTGTGCTGCAATGACATCCTCCACAGCTGGGGACACATGGCTAGGGTAGCGGACCCAGGACATGTTGTGCCGGTCCATCTTCAGGAGAGCTGTCAGACCTGCAACAGAAGCACATGCTATGTAGCCATGTGGCTGATCCAGTGAGGGACACCTGTGCTACACAAGGGACAAGATTTCCAGGGGTGCCTACTGCCATCCTCTGAGCAGAAGGATGTCAGGGTTCAGTCTTGGTGTCAAGAGCAAGGGATCTGGTTCAGTCTCCAACGAGCCTGGTGCTAAAAGGTACAGGGTGAGTTGAGAGAGGCTCCAGGCACCCTCACTGCTGACCCACAAGGAGCCCCTGTTGCTCAGCAGCTAACAATGGCCTTTGAGCATGGCTCTTGGCAGTGGCCTGTCTCCCATGAAGGGTTCAGTTGGCAATTTCCCTGCAACAGGTCTTAGGGGCCCTAGCACTGAGTCACCAGCACTTGCTGTCATTGCTAGGGACAGGCATGCCTTTGCATCTGAAACTACGACATTCTAGAACATTTCGGCCAGTTTTGACCTTTGTAGGAACTTTTTTCTAGAAATTGGGGTGCCATGTTATGGGGGCTGGGATGTTGTGAGAGCTCCCTGGGCCTCCTGCCCAGAAATCAGTAGCTGTAAATTCTTGGACAGGGCTTTAAATAGGGACACTTGACAGCCCCAGCATCCTTGCTGGCCCATCTTCGGTAAATGAAATAATTTTGTTTCCATACAAATAGCCCCCTCCTCCCTTTAAAATTTAACTCAATAGTAATGGAGGCTAGGATATAATATTTCTTTTTATTCAAAGGAAATGGAGGGTGATAAAACTGGAGCCATAATTTTAATGGGATTCCTGAAGGCTGGCCTAGTTCCAAAGCCAGCTTTTGTTTGTTCTGAAGATGGACCACATGTCTGGTGGGGGGGCGGGAAGGGGGAGTAATGGGTTTGTGTGTTGGCTCATGCATATAGTGTGACTACAATTTACTGATGTGTGGCTCTGAAGTAGAGAGCAGATATAACCAGCCAGCTTTCCCCGCCATCAGTAGCAACCTGCATGGTTTTGCTAAGCTCCTTGGAGCTGCCATGCCCTTGGTGATGTACCTGCTCTGTACCCAAACGAAGGTTTTGGGTATCTCTGTTGGTATTTTGAATGAGATGTTGCCCATAGGCTCAGGTATCTGGATACTTGGTCCCCAGTTGGTGGCGCCGTGTGGGGAGGTTTAGGAGTTAGAGGCTCGCTGGCCTGAGTATGTCGCTGAGTGCAGCACACTTTGAGGGTGTAAATCCTAGCCTCTTTCAGTGTGTCTGCTCTTCTCTGTGTTTCAGGCTTGTAGTTCAAGATACCTGCAGCTCGCTGACATGCCCCCCCCCCATGTGTTGTATAAAGAATCTGTGTTTCTCTACAGTAACAAAACCAAAGGCTACAGCGGCAGTTGTTTATACAAAACATGGAGGGAGGTACTGTTTCATTTGCAGACAGGTTCCTGACCGGGGAAATGAGACAGACAGAAAGCAGAGATGGGCAGGGGAGATCAGAGTGTGTAGAGGACGAAGGAGAAGAGCATGAACTTAGAGGCAAGAGTGCACAGACCTGGGAATGCTTTAGGGGTGTCTGCCTGCCTGCCTGCCTGCCTGCCTGCCTGCCTGCTTGCCTGTCTGTCTGTGTGTTCAGTCGCACACACATATGAGTGCAGGTGCCTCAGGAAACCAGAATGGGGGGATGGTATTGATTCCTTGGAACTGGAGTTATTCAGTCCTCTGGAAAAGCAGCCAGCCCTGCCAACCACTGAGCGGGCCCCAAGTTCTTTGTTTTTATAATGTTTTTTTATCACTAAAGTTTGTGAATTATTGTTATTTTCATTTTATGTGTATGGCTGTTTTGCCTGAATGTGTGTCTGCGTACTATGTGTGCACTTGGTGCCCAATGGAGTCAGAAGAGGATGTAGGATCCCCTGGGACTGAAGTTACAAATGATCGTGAGCCACCACGTGGGTGCTGGGAATTGAACCAAGGTCCTCTGGAAGAACAGCCAGTGCTCTTAAACCACCAAGCCCTCTCTCCAGCCCCTATAAATGTGTTTTTAAACTAATTTTGAGCATTTCACAATGCACGCTATTGTAGACTCAGGAGTCGAGGCCAGCCTTCGTCTGTCCTCAAGCCTCTTGTGTTCTGGACTTCCGGGTCCTGCCCCAGTCATCAGTGTACTCACTGTGCGCTGCCATCCTGTTCACCCCATTGCCCATCAGACCTGGAGGACAGTTCTCTCTGGGTATCCCGAGCAGCAGGAAGGTGGCCATTCTTGGCCCTGCCATGCCGCACTGGACTTGACTTTGATGAGTCTGAGATGTGTTGGGATGTTTACAGTGCTGCCGCTGACCAGCCTTTTCTACTCCCCATGGGCCTGCGGGCTCCTCATCCCATCTATCTCTTTCAGTCTGAAAAGACACAGCAGTGGCTGTGATGGCTTCCAGCTGCCGGCGCTTATGGAGCCAGTGGTGTGGAAATGAAGAACCATGGCCAGCTCGGGAGGAAGCAATTTGAAGTCTGTCTTGTCAGGTGGAATGGGAAGTTGTCTTGTGATCTCTGGCCACGGTCAGGAAGCAGAGCTGCTGAGCAGACATCTGATGTATCTGAAGCCACTTCATGCCTCGGGTGCGCAGTGTGCTACTGGGCCCTATGTCTGTGGCCATGCATCACCAAGGGCTCTTTTGGCTGGTAGCAGTAAGCTCTGGCTGTGGCCTGCCTCTGGTTCTCAGCCTGGGGAAGCCAGGACGGTGCCTGCCCTTGGTCCTATGAGACTATGTGCTTTCATCCATAGGAAGGAGCCTGCTACTGGAGGACCCTCACTCAGGTCCCGAATGCTCTAGCCAGGGCTTCATCACCTCAGTTCTTGGGTCTCAGCATTCTATGTACTGGGTACCGGTATCCCTTCTCAGCTGGGAATGTGAGAAGAAAGGATGGATCCCTGAGCAGACACTGGTGCAGCCCAGCCATGCCTGGGGGCGCTGCTTCCTGTACCTGGCCCTGCTCAAGTGGAGGGTTTTACAAAAGTGCCATCCTGTGCTTTTCCCCTGGAGAGTGGGTGGAGGGCTGGAGAGATGGCTCAGAGGTTAAGGGCACTGGCTGCTCTCCAGAGGTCCTGAGTTCAATTCCCACAACCATCTATAATGAGATCTGGTGCCCTTTTCTGGCTTTCAGGGATACATACAAGCAGAACACTGTATCTATAATAAACATAAATCTTGAGTGGGGGGATGGAAACCCATGCAGACTAGGTGAGCTTGTCTCCTTCCCAGGCCCTCAGAGTGCCCCAGTCCTATCATGGAGAGGCCAGCTAGAGAAGGAGTAGCCAAGAGCCTTTCTACTTTATGCAGTGTGACTTCCCTGTGTACGACACTCCCTGGCATACCTTTATGCCCTTCCTCCACAGTCAACCCCAAGCTGGATGGAAAGAGGATGAGGGAGGCCAGCGGGGCTACACAGGAAGCCAGCCTGAGCTTGGCTGCCCGTGTTCTCTCATTGGGTAGTGCTGCACACTAGTGGGTACTCGGGAGTGCTTGTGTCTGATAATGCACTGGAACCTCAGTTCACGTGTATGGCAGGACAGCCACGGCCTTCTTTAATTTGCCTGGGTCAGCCTGGGGGACGAGATCTGAGCCTAGTGTGACTGGGAGCTTGAACCTCTTCTCAAGATCATTTCGAAAAGAATCTGTAGAAATGACACACACTCTTCTTCTTGGCAAGCACCACCTCGGATCTGGCCACAGCCCTTTGACACAGCTCCCTCACTGACTGCTCTTGGCACTCAGCCTCAGCAGCCATTTGTCTGCTTTATCTCCTGCAACTCCAACATTTCCAGATTAGCACGTGGTAGGTCTCTGGAACCTTCAGGTCTCGCTTCCTTGCACACAGGAGGCGCCTACCTCCCTGGCACTGTGTGTCTTGGTTATCACTGCCTGCCCACTAACAGTTCCTTCTTGTCATAAGAAGTCCCAACAGTGTTAGACAGCCGCTCTTTGACAGCTGCTCTTAGCCCTCTGGTACAAACACTTTCTTTTTTTCTGGACATGTATCTGAGAGCAATGTGGCTAGCTCTAGGGTCAGTTGAGGCTGCCAATCTTCCAGGGTGGCAGCCCATCCTACTCTCCTACCACAGTCCAACCCAGCTTCTTAGAGAATCCAGAATGCCACGGAAGAGGGACAGACACCCCATGGACGTGTTTCAGGCTGAGAACCTGGGGCCTCCGGAGCCCTGCAGAAGGGCTGCCAAGGTCAGCCCTGTGTCCCCTGGGAGCTCCCCCAGGCTAGCGTCTGAGAATGCTGTGTTCCTGCAATGGCTCTTGGCCACCACTCTGTAAATAGTCCTTCAGAATGGTTCCTGTTAGTATGGTCAGCACTGTTTAGGTGGGGGAAACAGGGTGGGCACAGCCCAGGCACTTCCCAAAGGCCACGAGAGCGCTTCCCAAGCCCTTCCCACATAGGCACGATGCTCTACAGACCCTCCCAAGTCACACTTGCAGATATTTGCAGCAGGGCTCACAAGTTCTGCACAGATATGGCATAAATGTGTGAGATTCTATTGTGACCCACAGGTGGCATGGGGGTGGCCATCTATGTGTGTGGTACAGAAGGTGGTAAAGTGACCTCGGCATACTAGGCTGAACCACAGGCCACATAAGGACTTGATGGCTCCTCACCACCCCCACAATTCTGTCAGTTTCAGAATGAGTCTTTTGAGGATTCACAAGTTGGCTGTAATGCCCACAGACCTCCCAGCCAGGCAGTGGACACAGTGGGTGAGTTTTCAGAGGTAAACAGTGAGTTGGGGAGCTGAGTCCAAAGCTGGTGGGTGGAAAGCCAGAGCTGCCCTGGGAGATGGGTTCCTGTGCCCAACCTGCTGTGCTCCATCTACCCTGCAGCCCCACCTCCCTCCATCCCCTCCATCGTCCCTCCATCTCCTCCATCATCCCCCCATCCCCTCTATCATCCCTCTATCCCCTCCATCATCCCCCCATCCCCTCCATCTCCTCCATCGTCCCCCCACCCCCTCCATCATCCCCCCATCCCCCCATCCCCTCCATCGTCCCTCCATCATCCCCCATCCCCTCCATCTCCTCCATCATCCCCCCATCCCCTCTATCATCCCTCTATCCCCTCCATCATCCCTTCCATCATCCCCCCATCCCCTCCATCTCCTCCATCGTCCCCCCCACCCCCTCCATCATCCCCCCATCCCCTCCATCATTCCCCCCACCCCCTCCATCATCTCCCCATCCCCTCCATCGTCCCTCCATCCCCTCCATCTCCTCCATCATCCCCCTATCCCCTCCATCATCCCTCTCATCCCCTCCATCTCCTCCATCATCCCCCCATCCCCTCTATCATCCCTCTCATCCCCTCCATCTCCTCCATCATCCCCCCATCCCCTCTATCATCCCTCTATCCCCTCCATCATCCCCTCCATCGTCCCTCCATCCCCTCCATCTCCTCCATCGTCCCCCCACCCCCCTCCATCATGCCCCCATCCCCTCCATCAGCCCCCCATCCCCTCCATCATCCTTCCATCTCCTCCATCATCCCTCCATCCCCTCCATCATCCCCCCATCCCCTCTGTCGCCGCCTTCTCCTCCTCTGTTCTAGCACCCCTGGCCTTGGCTCTGTAAATGTTTCCATTCCCATCTCCTGCCCTGCAGACTGGGGTGGACCCGCTGATGAGTCATTATGTCTGCTTCACGTACATGGCCTGATGTCCCACTCTAGCCCCTAGCCAACCCTCTGCACAGAGGTGTGACCTTGGAGGAGAGCTTGGACTGACATCATAGTAGTGTGTAGGGCCAGCTAGGGGCCACCAGCCTCTGACCACCTCTAGCCCAGGGATCTGAAAAGGCAGCGCCAGACTCACTGGCTGTCACAGTGGACAGTGCAAGTTTGTCTGTCTATCTGTCCTTGATTGTCCTGTTGGTCCCAAGGCTATCTGGTTCTAAACATTTATTTAGGAATTGAGAAAATTACCTTCCTTAAGGTAAGGGTAAAAGCAGTTTCCTGTTTGCTTTTCTCGAGTTTTGCAGATAAGGTACATTATGCCTTTTGTCTCGTGTAGATGTGTGTGCGTGTGAGTACACACTAGGCACATGAACATGCAAACATGCATGCACATGTGTGTATGCACGCACAGGCACATCTTTACAAACAGGCACACATACGAATATGCTTGGGCACACACCCAATACAAACTGTGTACACACGCACACGTACACACAGACACTGGCTTCTAGGAGCTTCAGTACTCCTCCCGGCCCCCATGCGCTGTGGGCCAGATGGGCACTCCAGTCAGTAACCAATGGTCCAGCTGTGCAGAGCTGGCTGGCTTCAAACAGACTCTGTACTTTTTGCAGAGTAGGAGCCCCATGGGCCTATGGGTTAGAAGGCGGAACCCTCCTGTGAGGTCAGACCAAGGCAGTAGGCCTCCTAGCGTCCCCCTCAACCTTCTTTCCAGGAACCCGAGCACACACCTTCCCTGGCAGCATATTAAATGGGAGCACCCTTTATGGCTATTTAAGGCCTGTGTTTTCTCAACTTCCCCCTCTATGAGCACCAGAGATAAGAGTGGTTGGACCCAGAGTGGGTGAGACCAGGACCCTGGGAGGTGTCTGCACTTGTTTATCGCCACCCTTCTGCCTTACACACTGCTGTGTGGGTGGCACGTTTCCCACAAGGCTGAGCTTGGGGAGTGCTGAGGAGCAGGCTCACCTTTAAATCCCTGTTCAGGACCGGTGGTACTGGCCCTGTCGTGGAGCTGACCGTCCCTGTCACCAGGTGCCACGTGCCATCTGAGGCCCTCTGCTGTCCTGAGATCGAGTAGCTTAGCCAGATACTCGGGGCTGTTGGGTAGAAACCTGCATGATGCCTGTGGCTAGAGTGGGTGATCTAGAGTTTCCCCCAAAGCAGGATTTGCCCCAGGTACCAAGCAAGAGATCGCACCTTCCTGAGCTGAAGTATTTCAGAGGTCACCAGAAGAGGTATTTGGTATTTTGTGGCTTTCTGTAGTCTTGTTTAAGTCACTGTGGGTTCTGTGAGGATGTGCACAGCCACTGAGGAGGGTGCCTTCATACTACAGTGGCAGGGTGGGGCCGGGGACAGGATGCACATGATCAGACCCTTTCCTGCCCTCTGCAATAGGTGCTCCAGCGGTAACAGCAAACGGGAATGGCGCCACAGTGGCAAGGGCTTCTGAAAGTAAAACTGATGGGTTTTTTGCAGCCTGCCCTCCATGGCAGGACCTCCCTGTTGGTCCTTCATCCAGCTATAGGTCTTCCTGGCTCTTCTGGCCAGCTGTTTATTCTAGGTTTTGATGACATCTTGTCTGAGCTAGGTGTGGGCAGGAAAGCCTCTGGCTAGCCAGAGCCAAGCAGGTGAGCCCCAGAAGAGGGATAGGAGGGCAGTGGACGCTTGACCGGGTCCGCTTCCCCAGGAGGAGCAGAGGCTTCATGCCTCATGTTGCTTCAGATGGAGCAGATATTTGTCTCTGGGGGTCCAGTGAGCCGTCAGCACCAAAGCGGTGTCCCCATGTGTCTGTAGGGTAGTGATGAGGCAGGGTTCACCTTCAAGGCTGTGGTCTTAGGTCCACTGACTGGCCTCAAGGAGGTGCTGCAGAGCATCACCGCTGGGGGATTTGTCATGGAGGTCTTAGGCAGTGAGCTGAACCCCCTGGGCAAGGCTTTCCTTGCCTTGGCTCACAGGGACACGTGTCTGGAGATTCACACTAACCCATCTGAGTACAAAGCCCACTTTGTGCAGAGGTGGTGAGCCTGGTGGCCCAGGTTCCAAACACTCCCTCTCAGCCCCTGCCTGCCCCTGCTTTCTGGGCTCCCATCTCACCCTGCTGCAGTCAAGCCAAAAGAGTTCTCTGTTTTCAGGTTTCCCGCCCTGTGCAAACACACATTCCAGATGTGCCCACTGTAGAACAGTCTTTGTGTTCTGCCACACCAGCCTCTCTCCATCCCACCCACCCCCTTGATGAAAACCCTCCCGTCGTGATCAGCCTGACCAATCTGCCGACATCAGCTGTGCTTTCTGACCATCCTCGAACCTCTCCCCGTTTTGCTGTGGGAGCTGACCAGAGCCACCATGAATCCTTCCTTCGGGAAGAAGCTGGATCACCATACCACAGGCTAGAGTTTTCTTTTACTTAACAGAACTGACCTATGCCGTAAAGAAATCGATTCTCACAAACTTCCCACAGCTGTGAATGGCCCCCAGGGCGCATTCACTGCTAAGTCAGAGGCAGGAGGACAAACTGAGTGGACAGGGCTGCTACCTCCCCAGGACATAAAAATAGTGCTCACCTGTGCCAGGCCCTGGGGTCCACACAAGTCTCCATCAGCATCTGGGGGCTGCTGTGAGGCTGGGGCATTCTCTCTGTTCATCCAGCCTTCGCTCCATTGCTCCACACTTGCCAAAGACAGGCTGGCACAGACGCCCACAGCTCCTAAGGAAAAACAGGATTCGGCCTGGAGTCATCCAAACCACACACTGTGTTTAAGCGGGCTATGGTTGGACCATGTGACCTAGAAGAATCCAAATGGACCTATGCCTGAGGTGGAGGAGTGACGTGTGTGAGTGAGTCTGAGGGTTTCCAGAGCTTTCTTGCAGAAGTGTGCTGGCCACTCACAGAAGGTCCCTCCCAGAAGGCAAAGACATTTACAACCTAAAATAGGAGCTGAAGCCCCACCCAGCCAAGGAAAGTCCTCCCAACCAGAGGAAACCAGTGCCTGGAACCTTGCCACATGGATGAGGGTCTGGCCACTCTGTCCCTGTCACAGGGTGACTCAGGACAGTGGATACTCCAGCCTGGATGGCAGGTGACACTGTGCACCCCTGACTACCCATAATAACAATGGCCAAACCTGTACCTTGAGGTTGTATGGAGTGGGGCTCTGCCTGGACATGATGCCAGAAGGCACGTCAGCTTGCTGGTGTCCAGCATCTTCTCCACCAGGCCTTGCCCAGGATGCCATGATGCTAGCTGGGAGGAGCCCTGAGCGGAACCACCAAGTTCTGAAGGGAAAGCCTCAGCCTAATGGAGGTAAATAGTCTTGGGAACACTTTCAAATCTTAAAATGCGGTGGTCTTTACCCACACTCCCCCTGCTGAGTGCACCCTTTTGCAGCTTACCTCACTTGCAGGCTGTTTAAGTGGCGTCAGCCCCAAGGTGCCCTGTGGTACTGGTCTCAGTCGCTTCCTTCAGCCTCCTGAGAACTATGGGAGAGCCATCCCAGTGCTACCCAGTGGGCCTCTGGGTAGTTCCTGTGGGCTCCACTGCTGTCTGACTTGAAGGGAGTTAGGAAGCCATTAACTGGGCACCGGGATTCCCTTTTAGTGCATTTTCAGCCCTGGAGGAAGAATCTGACTCCTGCGGGAGAGAAGTCTGAGGAGGCCCTAATGGCTGAGGAGGCCTCATCCCAGGGGCCCTTCCTCCTCCAGGTCAGTCACTGCACCCACCCTTGTCCCCTTCCTGCATGGTGTGTGAAGGCAGCTCTCAACCCACATCCGCTTTGTCAGCCTCCGTGTTCCCTTCCTGGCCATGAGTTCAGTATGGTACGATTCAGCTCATAGACTCTAAGGCTACAAAGGACCAGTCTCCACTGCTTTGTCTTGGGGTCACCTTTGATACTTCCACATTTGACCCCAATTCTCTGTGTGGCACTGGTTGTGTCCTTCCTAATGGCCTTTGACAGTTTTGTAAAGCCCTATTGTATCTCTCCCGAGAATGGTCCCTGAGTGACCCCTGGCCCTTTCCAGTGCCCCTTGCATATCAGGCCTCCTTGAGAGGCACGTGGGCTCGCTCGCCAGCCTCCTTTGTCTCACTTGAGCCTTTTCTCGCAGTGCTAGTGCCTGGGCCCTCCCCTGGGGACTGGGCAGGGCATAGAGAGGGCCATGGGCAGGGCATGGAGGTAGTGGGGTTCCTGGGCTGATAACCCCCTCCTTCCCAAATTCTGTTTACCTGCTGGTAAGGGAAGTACAGGCTTCTGCTCTGAAGCCTGCTGCTGTGCCCTCTACCTGCCATATACCCTGTCCCCTGGTAAAGGAATAACCCTGTGTTGTCAATCTTCTTCAACTTGTCACAGAGAGGTGCTTGGCAGCACCCCTGGGGACAGGCAGTGGGACTAGAAGCTCTTCAGCCCGGCTTGAGCTGATGTGAGGTGGTGGCCAGCCTGCCTCATTGTTAACAGTCTAGGCATTGGGACCTCGCGGGGACTGCAGGGCAGGCTGCAGGGCACAGATACCTGTCCACAAGCCTCTACACCTTGGGAGGGTCCTGCATGTCCTCTAATCTTGATGCTTCCTGCCTGACCCATGCTGGCCCTTAGGCTGAGCCCACAGGCGTGGGACAACAGAACTACCGTGGCTGTTCTCTGTGCATTCGCTCTTGTGTGGTCTTTGGAGGCAGGCACCCCATCCCCAGGCTTCAGTTCCCTCCTGTGAGATGACTGATGATAGCTCCCATGGGTGGTAGGGCCCCAGCCGCGAACCACCCAGTAAGACTTCCATCCCAGCTCAGTGACAGCTTCCTTGCTGTCACAAGGACTTCTTTAGCATATGACCCCTGCCTAAGCTTGTGGTTGCCTGGACGTGAGTCGTCAGCCACTGAAGTGCTGGTCTGAATTTTTGCTCTGACCTGGCCATTGAAGTCAGGGAGATGTAGCACCAGATTGCATGCTCATGCTGCTGTAAGCATTCCAGAAGATGTGGCCCCTGGATTGCATGCACATGCCACTGTGGGAATTCATAATTCAGGAAGATGTGGCCCCAGATTGCATGTTCATGCTGCTGTGGGAATATAGGAAGATGTGGCCCCAGATTGTGTGTTCATGCTGCTACACTTAGGATCTGCACAGCCCACAGCCCTGCCTTGCCAGGAGCCACCACCACCAAGGGCAGAGTCTGTGCTGGGTAGGAAGGAGGGGAAGGACCCTGAAGGTTTGCATAGGGAAGGAAGGGGCAGTGGGTAGATGTGGCTTCCTTCCCTCTTTTCCCTGCCATAGAGTGTAGTTCCCCACCAGCTGGGAGGCTTTGGCCGCCTCCACCCCTGCCTTCCCCTCTGAGTCTGTGATGTTCATTTCCCCAACTGAGTCTGTGATGAGCATGGTGGCTGCCTTCCTCTCTGTCCCCTCTGAGAATACACCACACCTTGTTTTTTGTTTGGTTGGTTGATCTTGTTTTTGAGATAGGGTCTCACTATGTTGCCCTGGCTGGCCTGGAACTCACCATGTACACCAGGCTGGCCTTAAACTCACAGAGATCCACCTGTCTCTGCCTTCTGAGATCTAGAATTAAAGGTGTGTGCCACCACACCAGGCAAGGATACACTTGGATGTCACTTGTGCAGTGTTCACCTGGCCACAGGCCACAAACAGTCCCCGGGCCTCTCTGTCTGCACAGCTGCAGGTCCTCTGTACTGCACTGGGAGCTGGCAGTTAGGCAGGGGGTGGGGGATAGCTCATACGATGGCCCTCCTTCTCACAAAGACCCCAATAGCAGACCATTCAGTCACACAGCCAGGTGGTGGGGGCAAGCAGAGCAGCATACACGTCTGACTGCACAGCCAGGCTTCATTCATTCAGTATGAAGAGGAGTGAAGTTCTGACACACAGCAATGGGGGGCCCTTGAGACATCACACTCGGTAGGACAAGCAATGCACAAAATGCCACGCGCCTTATGGTTCCACCTCAGAAGAGACAAAGCCCGGGGACAGAGAGCAGACAGGGCTACTTGGTGTCATTTCATGTGTCAACATCAACAGTGATGACTTTCCTTATCCTCTCAACTTGCCACATCCTCCCCAGCTACCTCTGGTGTCTTAGCTCTCTCTCTCTCTCTCTCTGTCTGTCTGGCATCTGTCCTCACCTATAGTGACAGGGACATACTGCTTAACAGACTCTTTGGGTAGCAGCTAGTCCACACCTGATGCAGTCAGTGAGTCTGTGCAGGCTGGGCCTGGGGTCTGTCCTGGGCCACATTGTGTTGTGTCCCCAATATGATATCTAGTGGCCGATCACCTGGCTGGCTCTGTAGTGACAGCTACGGCCCTTCCTAGGAATTTTGAGACAGATTTGAGTCTGGCATCTGGCTCTATAACTAACATTCAATTCCTGATCCTCCTGCCTCTACTCCCAACCTCTGGTATTACAGGTGTGCACCACCACATCTGGCTCATGCCGTGCTGGGCTTGGAACTCCTGGCTTTGTGCGTGCTAGGCAGGCCCTCTACCAACTGAGTCACAGTCTCAGTAATTTTGTTATTGTTTATTTGGTTCTGTTTATTTTGGGTTTTCTGTTTTTCTTTTTTGAGATAGGGTTTCTCTAAGATAGGACATGCCTAGAATTCAGAGTCCACCTGCCTCTGCATCCCAAGCGCTGGGGTTAAAGGCATACATCCCCACTACCACCCTGAGCTGTGCTGGCTAATTTTATGTCATTTTGACACAGGCTAGAGTCATCTGAGAGAAGGGAACCCTAATTGAGAAACTGCCTCCAGAAGACTGGACTGAAAGCAAGCATGTAGGACATTACTTTAATTAGTGATTAAAGGGGGAGGGTCCAGACCATTGTGGGTGTCGGTCTTGAGTTCCATAAGAAAGCAGGCAGGGTAAGTCATGGGGAGCAAGCCAGTAAGCAGCACTTCTCCATGGCCTCTGCATCAGCTCCTGCCCCTAGGTTCCTGCCCTGCTCAAGTTCCTTTCTTGACTAATTCAGTGATGAACTATGATGTGGAAGACATGTAAACCAAATAAACTCCTTCCTTTCCAGCTTGCTTTTGGTGACAACATTTCATCACAATAGTAACCTTAACTAGGACGCCACCTTTCACCATTGCCTCCTTAAATAAAAGGACTTGGGGTTACTGCATCATTTTTCTGCTATCCATCTCCCTAGTTGTGGGCTGAGGCTCTAACACTTGGCTGCCCCAACATGTAGCCTGAGTCAGATACAAGGAATCTCAGAGTGAAGCCATGCTGTGAAGCCAAGCCTGCTGAGCCCTTGGCAAACACAGTCCTGAGTTGTGTCTGCGCCCTTGGCTATTTCCCACCACCACCAGCTTGCTGTGTGGAGAGAGCTGCCTTGGGGCTACATGTTTGTATGCGGTTGTGCCTGCAGCCCAGCCCCTCCTGTGCTGTGTTGACTGTATTGGCTTCTTTCTCATTGTGGTGTCCTAACACCTGACAAGAAGCACCTTAAGGGGGGAGGGTGTTGATTTGGGGCTCTGGGTTTGAGAAAATACTGTTATCATGGCGTGAAAGGCAAAGACAAGTGGGAGAAGCTGCTGGTCACATTGTATTTGTGATCAGGAAGCAGAGGGAGGTGGATGTTGATACATTGTGTCTATGGTCAGCCAGCAGAGGGAGGTGGATATTGATACATTGGGTCTGTGGTCAGCCAGCAGAGGGAGGTAGATATTGATACATTGTGTCTATGGTCAGTAGGAAGCAGAGGGGTGGATGTTGATACATTGTATCTATGGTCAGCCAGCAGAGGGAGGTGGATATTGATACATTGTGTCTGTGGTCAGGCAGCAGAGAAAGGTGGATACTGATACTTTCTTTGAGTTTGCGTTGTCCTTTTTATTGTCTGGGATGCT